CCCCCCTCCAGGCTGTTTTGCTGTCTGGGGTCCAGTTTGGGGCACCCCTCACATTTCAGTGTAGGGGTTTCCGTCTCTTTTCTCAGCACGTTTTGACTCTCTTTTCTACTGGGTTGCTGGCTGGCAAATGCTCTGCTTGTAGCTCAGTTTATCCCAGCCCCTGAGGGAACCACAGTGCCCGAGATGCTGTTTGGACCTCAGGTTTCTGTTTAAATATTTTGCCTGTGGTTTCTGCCTGTCTGATTCCCTCCAAGGATCCCTAAAAACTAAAAACTCGTGCTGCTGACAGCAGTCTCCACCTCCACTGACGCTGCCCCCTGCACCTTCAAGTCTGGGCAGCGAGTTCATGGCCTGACTCCATTTTGCAGCCAGTCTGACAAATGCCAGCACAAGGACCCCTGTGCAAGGCAGGAGAGACCGCCAGCCCCATGTGTGAAGCCTTGTCTCTTGCTTTGTTACCAGGATGGATTTGATCAATGGGTCTGCCCCAAAGAACACATTTTTATTCTTGAGGCCCCTACTGCCATGCTGCTCCTGGAGCACCGCTTTGGGACTCTGCCCTGTGCTAGCCTGGCAATATGCATGCCCCAAAATACTGGGGAGTAACCTGACACACATCTCCTTCTGGTCATACAACAGCATAAAATCTGCAAGAACTGACAAATGGGGAAATTTGCAGGGAGAGCTGGCCTTCTACCCCCTATCTGTTAAGCTCATTAAAGGTAGCTTTTAGCATCAAACCAGACATCCCATGAACAGCTAAGACAATACCAAACGTCAGTGCTAGTTCTTAGATGGGAAAGCAGATCCTTGGGCATGTCCTCTCACAGCCAGCCTTTCCAGGTGCCCTCTCTACCACCAATATGTGGGCTGCGAGACTGGCTTCTGCAGAAAACATTCCCTGGAAACTTGCTTCATTAAACCAATATAATTGTGCCTTACCATTTCTTACTCTAAGTGGCTATTCTGTGTTAAAAAGCAACTGGAATGTTAGGAATTATTAGGAGAGAAACAGAAAACAAAGCAGATCCATAAATCCATCTCAAATATTATGTCTGCTTCAGCCCTGCTGTCTCAGGAAGATAATAGCAGAGCTAGAAAAGGCACAAAGGTGACCAGAGGGATGGAGCAGCTTCCAGGCAGTGGACAAGTAGATACACCGAGGCTCTACTAGAAAGGAGAGGAGCAAGGGAGAACATGGCATGGGTCTATAAATTGCAAAGGAATAAAGGAATGAATATTCACTTGCAATATTGGCCTTTGGAGGCATAGACAAATAGAAAGCACATAGCAAAAAGCAATAATGCAAGAAACCCCCACCAAATGCTGTGAAACACAATGATACAAGTGGCTAAAGAAAGAATTCACCAGTACTGTGCGTTCAGTGCAGCGGCTGACCAGGGCCACACGCACGTGCTGGTGTCCCCCCTCCCCTGGGATGCACTACAGGCACTGTCTTCGCACCCAGTGCAGTTGCTCCTACAATTTTAAACCTCTCAGACACCATCAGAGGTGTTATTCTGGAAATGGCTTTGGCTGGCCTGAAATAGAGTAAAAATGTTCTCCAGGTTGCATAGCTGCCCCTTCCCGGTGGCCCCAGCCTGAGAGCAGCCATCCTGGTGGGGGGCTCAGCCAACAGCCGTCTGCTGCCACCTTCCGGGTAGGGGACCGCCGGACCATCTGTGCGGCACCGAACACCCCCGTGGAAACCAATCATCTGAAACAGCCCAACCGGACAAACACATCTCCCAGGCAATGGTTAAAAAGAAGTGTGCTCAGCTGTGTCACGCAAACACCCTCCCCAAAGAGCAGCTGGGTTCTGCGCAACAGCTCACCCTATGCATGACAGCAAGGATAATTTTAGAGATAACTATTCTGTGGTTTAAGTACTGTAGCAGAAAGGGGTATTTTATGCCTGTTGGAGTGAATTGACTCTGTGCCCTCTCCCAATATGTTTTTAGCACAGTGGTTATGCCTTTTTGCTACTTACAAATTCAGTGCGCTTCTGTGCAAAGTCTGTTTTGTCTCTTGCTGCATGCAGTCGCCCAGCCCTGTGGGGGAATTAACCTAGGAAAAAAGTGTAGTTTTTATCATTAAGCCCCTGATTTTAATTTAAGGAGTACTTAAAAAAATATAGGGTATAGATTGCTGAAAAACATCTATTTGGAGAATAGTATCAGGGCGTTCTCTGAACACCAAGGGGATGCTGCACACTCAGCTGTTCCTTCAGGACTGAACGGCTCCATCCCTTTGCAACGTGGTTTAAGAAATGAGCAGGTTTTCTTAGTGAGTCTACCATCTTTAGTCAGTATTTATAGTGAAGGTGCAACTGAACTCGGGGATATTGCTATTTGTGACAGTGTTTCTTGTTCATCTTCTACCACACTGGAATCCATGGCTTGATGTCCAAGTGGACATCAGTGATGAGTGGTGTTCCTCAGGGGTCGGTACTGGGACTGGCACTGTTTAACATCTTTGTCGGCAACATGGACAGTGGGATCGAGTGCACCCTCAGCAAGTTTGCAGATGACACCAAGCTGTGTGGTAGGTCGACACGCTGGAGGGAAGGGATGCCATCCAGAGGGACCTTGACAGGCTTGAGAGGTGGGCCCGTGCGAACCGCATGAAGTTCAACAAGGCCAAGTGCAAGGTCCTGCACAATGGGTCGGGGCAATCCCAAGCACAACTACAGGCTGGGCAGAATATGGATTGAAAGCAGCCCTGAGGAGAAGGACTTGAGGGTGTTGGTTGATGAGAAGTTCAACATGAGCCGGCAGTGTGCGCTTGCAGCCCAGAAAGCCAACCGTGTCCTGGGCTGCATGAAAAGAAGCGTGACCAGCAGGTCAAGGGAGGTGATCCTGCCCCTCTACTCCACTCTTGTGAGACCCCACCTGGAGTACTGCGTCCAGTGCTCGGGCCCCCAACATAAGAAGGACATGGAGCTGTTGGAGCAAGTCCAAAGGAGGCCATGCGATGATCAGAGGGCTGGAACACCTCTCCTGTGAGGACAGGCTGAGAGAGTTGGGGTTGTTCAGCCTGGAGAAGAAAAGGCTCCAGGAAGACCTTATAGCAGCTTTCCAGTACCTGAAGCGGTCTACAGGAAAGCTGCAAAGGGACTGTTTATCAGAGAGTATAGTGATAGGACAAGGGGTAATGGCTTTAAAAAGAGGGTAAATTTAGATGAGATATTAGCCAGAAATTCTTCACTGGGTGGTGAGGTACTGGAACAGGCTGCCCAGAGAGGTTGTGGATGGGCCCCC